GGGGGGGGTCAAAGCTGCATCAGGCAATCTGGTCTCATGCATGGTCCTGAGTGGGTCCTCGCCCTCCACGTAGCCCTACTCACTGATTTTCTCCACGGGAGCCCACTCCTCCTCCAGATCCTCGCCCTTCCCGGGCCCTGCTAACAACAAAGGGAGGAGCTAAAGGAAGGGCCTACAGCATCAAAAAAACAAACACTGCCCCACAGGACTGGCCACGCACCTTTGTGGTCTTTGTTTCTCTCCACAGCCCATTTGTCCTCTGTGTCTTCCTTGGGGCTACTGCCCTCCTTTTTGGGCTTCTCTGGGGCATGTAAGATTAAAAAAAGAGGCCAGTCAGGTTGGCCTGGGGCCTGGAGTAGGGGAAGCCAGGCTGAACTGGGGATACGTGGGGAGGGGTGTCAGGTAGAGCTGGGGCATATGGAAGTTTCAGGTTGAGCTAGGGGTATATGAGGGTCAGGCTGACCTAAAGGCAAGCAGGAGGGGTCAGGCTAAGCTCGGATACATGAGGGTCAGGCTGACCTGAGAGCATGTGGGGAGGGGTCAGGCTGAACCTGGAGTGTGCAGATAAGGACTGGGCTGAGCAGGGGACAGAGGGATTCAAGTTGAGCTGGGGGTACATCTGCTAGACACATCTGGCCTCAGGAGGTAGCCTGCTCTGCTATCTGCCTGTTCTGACTCACTCATTTCCTCTTTTTCTTCATCCACCTCTTGTCCAACGTCAGGCTTCTGTGGTGGAGGATGGGGAAAGTAATAGTCCACTGTAGGAGAGAAAGCCTGGATTAGCTGGCCCAAATCTATGCTGGCCTGGGCTCCTGACCTCACAGGAGGCTGTAAGGCAAGCATTGACAATAGAGAGAGGCAAGGAGGTAGGGGAAAGGCCAAGACTTAGGTCACGAGCCTAGTACAAGCTCTGCCTATGGGGAGGAAGAATCAAAGATGGACATCAGGACAAGACACCTGCCTGGGTGGCAACTATACCATTTGTGGCCAGGAGGGGTCAGGCTTTGCGATCTGGGCTGATACCTTGGATCTGAGGCATTGATAGCAATGGTAGGGAAGTAGTAAAGACCTGTACACCTCTAGAGCCCAGAAAGGAAGAGATCTGAAGGATCCACTGGGATCTGGGAAAGGAGTGTGCCGAGGTCAACAGCCAGCCCCTTGGATTTAAGGTCATTTTCTTGTGCTTCAGCTGTGTTAGGCTATCCCAGGCTTGCTGTAGAAGGTAACTGGGCTCTGTTAGTGCTGCATTGCCTAGCTATTGTTGACTGTGTTTTAGGCTGGCCTTTAGTCATCTGGGATTTGTGGTTATTATAGGTTTAGATGCTGATTTCTGAGTTTATCATCGTTGGATGGGAGTTTTTTAGATGTTTTCCCCTTGGTTTCTCTTTCTTCTCTGTCTGGTTAGATTTGCTAGTCTTCAGGTCCAGTAGGGTGCTCTCCTGGGGTTTTTGTAGCCTGCATGACCTTTGGGGTCCTAGTACTAGCATAGCCTGGGGTCCTTGGTACTGGTGGGCCTCTGGGAAAGCAGGCCCAGTTATGAGCCAACACCATTGGAAAAGGCAGATACAATGAGCTGGCAGGAAGCCTGCTAGACCCCAGGGTACAGAGGGCTGGGCCAACATAGGGAAACAGGACTGAGAGACCTAGAGGCACCCGTAGTGTCACAATTAGGACCCAGGAATGTAGACAAAGAAGGCCCAGTGTCCTGACTACAGTCTCCACCCCAGATGTCCATCTGCCTACATCTAAAGACATAGAGAAGCTACATACTCACAGTCATCGTAGTTGGGGATCAAGTAGCTATCCCCATAGTCAGGGGGCAGCATGGGCTTCAGAGGTGGATCTGTGGAGGAGGGTGGAAGTGAACCAGGGCCTCTCTCCTGACCACAACCCCCTCTACTGCCTCCCATCCTACCGACTTCCTTCTTTTCCTCTGGCTCTTCGGTCTTCTCCTCAGGGCGCTCTGGCCAGAGCCTCTTCCTGCTGGGTGTCGGTCTGGGCTGTTTCTGGCGACGGATGTACTCAACTAAGGGGGAGGCAGATTCTGAGCAGCCATGCTGGTGGGCTTCAGGTCGAATGCTCAGTGCCCAGGCCAGAGTCTAGTCCACACACAGGGAGGCCTACTTACAGTCCTCATAATCTTCCCGCTCTATCTGGTCATTGTAGTCCAGTGTGGGCATCTCAGTCTCCTCCTCTGGCTCTGAGGGAAGATAACAGTGGCCTAGTGACAACCTACCAAGGTTGTCAGTCCAAGAAGCCTCTCAGTATACTAGAGCTGAATGCCGAGTCACCGTGAAATCAGAGGATGACAGCTACTAACCAGGCTGCTGCTGCCTGTCCTCCACCGGGGTCTCCTCTCCTTGACCCTGCCAGGTATTTGGGAAGGTTCTTTCTACAACACAGAAGTCCGAAGAGCAGGTAAACAGGGGTGCCTACCTGGATCCCCTAGAGAGCTTAAGACCACAATGCATCAGGGCCTTTGTGGATGCTATACATACCTTCCAAGACCACAGCTCACTCCAAGGAAGCATAGGAAGCTGATGTCCACCCAACCTCCACAAATCCTGAAGCCCCTGCGGTACCCCAACTGTGGGGATATCCACTTGATCCCTAACTACGATGACAGTATCTAGTATCTCAAAGTCCACGGGATATAGTATAGTTCTAGTGTACCCTGAGGCTAGAGAGCTATGCTGCTGTTTGTGGGAGTGCTTACCATAGATCTGATGGCACCAGAGGAAAGCAGGAGGGACCAGGGGACAGAGCGCTCACCTATAAGCTCCCAAGCTCTCTCCCTGCCCAAGAGCAACATTAACAGAACTCACTGAGAAAACCACCAAGTTAATGACAAGTCCTCAAAGTTCTCTTGTCTTAAGAGTCCCAGGAATCTCTCCTCATTTCTCTGTCCTCAAAGAGGTCAGAGCCCCAGGGATCCTGCTACAAACCTCTCTCCTGTGGTAGCTCCTGGGGCCTAGGGTTGGAGGCTGAGGGGAGTGACAGCTTCAGCGTTTCTAAGGGGGCGACAGTTGATAACTTCTTTCCTGCCGAGGGCCTCTTAGTGGCCTTAGGTGGCTTCTCCTTAGGCTTCTTGGTGGCCTTGGGTGGCTTCTCTTTGGGCTTCTTAGTGGCCTTGGGTGGCTTCTCTTTGGGCTTTTTGGTGGCCTTGGGTGGCTTCTCCTTTGGTTTCTTGGTGGGCCTGGTGGAGCTCTCCAGGTGTTTTGTGGCCTTGGGGCCTTTGTCCTTCTTCCCTTTCTTCTCTTTGTCTTTGTTCTTTTGTGGAGGGACTGTCGAGGACAAAGATAAAGGAACAGACCATCAGAGCCCAATCTGTGTGCCCAAGTTTTACCCCTGGATGCCCAGGGCCTGGGTGTGAGGGCACCTTTCAGTCCCTGATCTGGTATAGATCAGGAAACTAAGGTTAGCCACTTACTCAAGTGGTAGAATGTGACCCTTGTCCAGGCCTCCTGTCTGCATATCCAGAGTGATTAGTAGCAACTCCTGGCTGCTCTGAAGTACTGAGTTTGGGGCACAATATATAGGGAGACATCTCTGTCTGCCCCAGCCTCCATGGGGGTCCCTCATAATCCCTTTTTCACGTTGTCTGCCTAGTCCTGGAGTACGGTTCTGTACCAGGCATGGAAGGTACAGGGAAGAGCCTGAAAGAGCAAAACTACCCAAGCAAATGACCAGACAAATTAAAGAACGTGGCTTGGCCTTCCAAGAGCCTCCTTTCATGTTGAAGAAAAGCTTCAAAGAGACACTCAAGGCAGGCTGGGGGTGTAATTCTGTCCTAGAGCAGTCAGTCCCCTGGTATGTGTAAGGCCCTGGGTTTAGTTCCCTAGCACTGCCTCTAGGGAGGAAGGCAGGCAGGCATTCAGTAGGTCTTGAAGTCCCAAAAGGTTCCAGTTGAAACCCAGAACGAACAGGAGGCCCATATAAAGGACAGGGGGACAGGCGTTTAGGTAGTTCTTGGTACTAGCTCATCTGAGAGAAGTCTACTAGCAGGGGACGACACCCCCTAGGAGCTGCAAATGCTGCGGAGAATTTAACAGCGGATGAGAAACACACAGGCAGTTGGCTGAAACACAGGGAACATTGCAAAACATGCAGCAGAAGCAGGGTCACTTGGCAATGTCCAGAAAGTCTTGGTTGCTGGAGGCAAAGTGTGCAGGGAAGTGAGGGGTGGGGAGAGCAGGACAGATCTACAGTGGTGGGGGCCGCCGGGGGAGTGGCTGACCTCAGGAATGATGAACGGTGCCTTACAGTCTCCTGGGAGAGAGATCACAAGATCCTTTGCCACTCTCCAGAGGGTCATGAAAAACAGCTAAGATTTACTGACAACTGATTACATAAGAGGCTCAGGGCTACATGCCTCCAGGATGCTATCACCTCGCTTAGTTCTGACCATCTCAGAGCACCCACTTTCACCTGGAAGTCTTCCTCAGCACCCTCCCCTGCCTGTGTGTTCCTGTGGGAGTAGAGGCAGGCAGATGCCTAGGCTTGAAGCTTGCCACTAACAGATTAGGGCCAATTCAAACGACAGGGAGGGGAATCACAATTCCCCTCCTGCCCAAACCTACATTCTCTTGAGACCTGGAGATGAGCAACTTGGGCGAGTGTATCCTCAGAACCTCAGCACCCTATGCTGTCCATACACCTCCAGGTCTCCAAACTGCAGGATAGAACTGCCGCCTGGCACTGTGTTGCCTTGTGTTGCCCTGGACATTCCTCACTGGGCAGCATGGGAAGGCTAGACCTTCCACAGGCCCTGTATGCTGACTTGAGGCCATGGCCACCCATGTCACCAGGTTCTCACCTTCTGCATCTGGCCGCGGCTTGCCCCCTGCCTTGGATTTGCGGGCACGCTGGGTGGGTTCGGGAAGCGGCTGGGCTTCCACGTCGTCTTCCCGGGGCGGGGACTGGGTCTCCAGCTCTGAAAGGAAGCCTTCTAGGAACTCCTCGATCTCATCGTCAGTCAGTACCGTCTGTGGGCTCCCCTCGGGGCACAGAGCCAGCAGTGCCAAGAGGCCACAGAGCAGGGATGCGCTGCGCACTGCAGCCATGGCTCTGGGCACGCGCGGGAGCCGGGTGGGCTTGAGCAGGGACTTGGGTAGTAGGGGCGGCGCCTCGCGTGGGGGTGGGAAAGGACGCGAGGAACCCTGGGGAGCAACGTGGACGTTGATGGTATCCAGAAAGGGGTGGGAGAGGGAGATTCAAGGAGGACAAGGGGCTCCAGGAGAGGTTCTGGCTGGCTCAGCTCTGGCGGCAACTGGGCGCTCCTACCCCGCGTGGCTAGCTCTCACGCGGACCGCCCTCCAGAGCGCTTGCGACGGCCTGGCCGGGGCGGGGGCTTCTGGTTTCCGGAGAGGGAGGAGGAGGAGCTGGCCTTGGACCAGGGGCTGCGGGGGAGGGAGGCGGAGCACCACGGAGCCCCGACTAAGAGCAGCATCAGCGCCCAGTTTAGAGGGTCTGGGTGCAGGGCGCCTAGGGGCAAGGAAGGTCTGGGAGAAAAGAATGCAGAGTTATGGGGAAGAAAGTGTGCGGAGTTTAAAGAGACTTATGATCTACTCGCTGTGCTCCGAGCCCCAAAGCTTGGTGGGTGAGGGAGGTAGTAGGGCCCTGAGGGTACTGGAGATCACCTCCTTCCCACTCTCTGGAGGTTAGTTCTTCAAAGTGTCACCAGCTGTGTGCTGGCGCAGGTGTCACCTTCGTCCAGTTATCACCAACATCCCAGGTCTTTGGAGTCCATTTTTTTCCCCGAGGTAGGCTATGAAAAGCTGTTCTCAGCCAAGCTGTTGTCCTAGAGATAGGAGCCCCACTTCAGAGCTCAGGTCTCAGGTCCCAATGTGAAGTAATCGCTATTTCTCTCCTTCCTCTAACAGAATCCTTTACAACAACAACAAATTGTTTACATTTTTTTACAACTACCACACAGGCCCAGAGGGTACGAGAGCCTCAGAGCATCCCAGGATACACCTGTCGAAGTGCCAAGGTGTCTGCCACTGGCTTCTAGAAGATAAATGTTGGCTGGTTCTAATGGCCATCACAGCTAAGCCCGGGAATGCCAGAGCATTTACCACTGAAGATTCAGGATGTGAACGTGGGCTTGTAGCCATGGGTTCGGGTCAGTAGGAGGCAGCTTTCAACCAAGGTGGGGAGGCACTCGGATAGGGCAGAATAGGGGCCCTAGGATGAATGACAGGGCAGAGTTTACATCTCAGCTAGAAAAAAAAAAAAAAAAAAGCAGGTCAAGAAAAGAAACACCAACACGGCCCCACCCTCTCAGTCTCATACACGCCCTCCTGGGCCAGCATGAGCAGGTAAAAAAACAGGGAGATTTCCAGGGGCTTGGCTCTGCACCCCAGAGCTCTCTAGGAGTGGTTGAGCCCCCTCCTGGCAGTCTCCTTTCTGGCTCTCCTTGAGGAAGCAGGGATACTATGTCAAGAACAGGTCCCTGGGGGTCTATCCCATCTCTGCTCTCCTAGTCATCTGACTCAGCAGGGGACCTCCCTGTCCACACCTTACTGTATGCATATTAAATGGACTGTGTTGAGCTGTGCCTAGCACACATGGTCAGCCCTTGCATCCCACAGACTGTTGGTCCTCCTCCTCTTTGCTCCCCCTCCCCCACCCCAGGGCGCTCCTCTCACAGCTAGGCCTCCCAGAAGAGACTTGAGCCTGGTTGTAGAGCAAGAGTAAAGCAAGTCTCCACTGTCATCCCCTGAGTCATTATGCTCAAAATCAGTTCTGGGAAATGGCTTCTGTGCCCCCAGTCAGGTCCGGTGTGTCATGCTGGGTATGCCACAGGGTGCATGAGGGGACATGGATGTCACTTTCGTAGGCATGGGTCATACTTGGACTGAGTTTGGGCTGGATATTCTCTGCCAGGGAAAACAGAAGCCATTTCAAAAATGGAAAACAAAATACCTAGGGTCTAGAGATCCTTTTCCTGAGCCTCAGTGAGTCACTGACAGGAATGTGAGCAGAGGAGCCTGTGAGGAACTGGGCCCAGGAGGCCTGAGGGGTCGAGGCCTCCACATTGGAAGTCCAGAAAGGTGGATGGGAACATAATGCTAGGCGGGTGTTCCTTCCCTCTGAGGGAGCCCATCCTCAGGAAGTCCTTTTGACCGGGGCCCACAGCTCTAGAGCAAGAGGGTAACCAGAAGCCAGAGCCTGTGAGGAGAGCCCTCCACTCTGCTGAAGAGCATAACATTTAAGTCAGACGTCCAAGGGCACTGGCAAGGCCAGTTGAGGAAATGGGAGGCTGGTGGCTTCTGTGACCAGGAACACTCCGAGGGTTCAAGAGTGCTCCCTGTCCGTGTCCAGTGTGTTCTCCAGAGGACCTGCTAGACAGTTCCCCAACTCCTCCCCCTCCCAACTCCAGTTTTCCATGTGAATGAATGCAAAGGTCTTCCCAAGGGATCACACAGAAGCACTGAGCTGGCCTGAGAGAAGGGAGGTATCCTTCAAGTTCTTTCAGTGCTGCAGAGGTAGAAGCAGAGTTCCTGGGAGAACAGAGGCTGTTTGAGGGGGGAGGCCCCAGCCTCTGGTCCTTCAGTATATCTGTGTGTTTTGCACCTCTGAGGGCTTGGAACAAGCATCTGCCATGAGTGCTACTGCCAGAGGGAAGCCCCAGGAGAGGATCCAGGAGGGAGAGGCTAAGGTTGTGTCAAGGACAAAGAGGACAGATGTTCTGTAGTGTCACATAAGCACAGTTGTCACATGGAAATAGACACAAAGCTGTCCTTTCCCTTTGCAGAATCAGATCTCCCTGTGAAAGGAAGGATACCCACTCCCTTTTTATGAGAGGCCAATCTTGGGATCAGGATCAATCTTTTCTCTAGGGTGGAGACAAGAGATACTGAAAACAGGATAAGAAATCAATGTTTTCAGTTAAATTGAGTATGATGATAGGTCAGGTCTATTGGAAGACACATCCTGGAATTCAGAAGGTCAAGGCAGGAAGATAGCCATTTTGAGGCCAGCCTGGATTCTGTAGTGAGACCCTACTTCAAACATAAGTTAAGAGCTGGAGAGATGGCTCAATAGTTAAGAGCACTTTCTACTTTTGCAGAAGACTCAAGTTCTGTTCCCATCACCCACATGGTGGCTCTCAACCACTCCAGTTCTGAGATCTAATGCCCTCTTCTGGCCTCCCTGGGTACTGCATGCACATGGTGGACAGACATAGGCATACACTCCTCCACAAACCATTAAAAATAAATCAAGAAATGAGGTGGGCAGTGGTGGCACATGCCTTTAGTCCTAGTGCTTGGGACACAGAGGCAGGTGAATCTTTGAGTTTGAAACCAGCCTGGTGGTCTACAGAGCTCCTGGACAGCCAGGACTACACAAAGAAACCCTGTCTCCAAGACCTAAATAAATAAATAAATAAATCTGAGCTTAGTTGGTCAATGCTGGCTGCTGATGAGTCAGAAGTGGGAGGGAGGGAGCCAGAAAAGGCTGGAGATGGATGCTATTTCTTATTTTCTCATATGTTAAGGATGGTCTTAGCTCTCCTGTTCTTCAATGGGAAGGAGTGACTTGACTCTAAGAGGAAGAGTCTGCTCCTTTGGACCAGGTAAGTAGGCTCTAGTCAGCATATGACTGTGTTGCAGGATCATTCAAGCCCCCAGGACATACCTGATAGACTTTGATTACAAGGGTCAGAGCCACTCCTGCTTGCTGGTGACTGCCATCTCTCTTGCATTCAGATTTTAGTCCTGTCTTATTCAGTGGTGACCTCGAGCTTCCTCATTCATTCATTCTCCATGTGGTGATTGAATAGGAATGGCCCCCATAGACTCATGTGTTTGATTGCTTGGTCACCAGGGAGTGGCATTATTAGAAGGTGTGGCTTGTTGGGTGGGTGTGGCCTTGTTAGAGGAAGTGTGTCACTGGGGATGTGCTTAGAGGTTTCAGATGCTCCCAGGGTCTCTCTCCTCTTGCTGCCTGCTGATGTAGATGTAGAACTCTCAGCTCCTCCAGCACCCTGTCTGCCACGTGCCACCATGTTTCCTGCCATGACGATAATGGACTCAATCTCTGAACCTGTAAGCCATTTAAATGTTTTTCTTATAAGAATTGTCATGGTCATGGTGTCTCTTCACAGCAATAAAACTCTAACTAAAACATTCTGTGCCTGAGGAATACTGTGGCCTTCCCAGAAGTTCCTAAGTAATTCATGGCATCTCTTTGAAAGTGTCCCCCTTGCCAGGCAGTGGTGGCGCACACCTTTAATCCCAGCACTTGGGAGGCAGAGGCAGGCGGATTTCTGAGTTCAAGGCCAGCCTGGTCTACAGAGTGAGCTCCAGGACAGCCAGGGCTACACAGAGAAACCCTGTCTCGAAGAAGAAAAAAAAAAGAAACAAAGAAAGAAAGAAAGAAAGAAAGAAAGAAAGAAAGAAAGAAAGGAAGGAAGGAAGAGAGAAAGTGTCCCTCTTACACCACACGGTGGGAGACATATGCTGTGGCACTCCTTAAGGGAACAGATGAAATATCTCTATGGCTCTACAGATGCCTGGGTGCAGGTGGGCAAGACAGAATAATACCAGTCCATTGATCACCCAACCCCTCTCTACCAGCCCAGTTGCCTTGAGATTTCAAGGCAGTTTGTACATACCTCTGTGTGGGTCCATGCCTATGTATGGTTCTTTGATTCATCCAAGAGTATCTATAGAATGGGCCAGCAAGATGGCTGGCTCAGTGAGTAAAAGCACTTGCCACTGAGCCTGGTGGCCAGTTCCCTAGGACCCACATGGAAGAAACGGCTCCTGCAAGTTGGCTTCTAATTTCCACACATGTGTAGTGGTATCACCACCCCTTGCAATAAGTAAACATCAGGAGATAAAAACACGATAGAATGTATGAAGCTTTCAACAGGGTGTTGGCTTGGGAATGGCCAGAACTTCAGCCATCGAAGATGTGTAACTTTTCTTTGGAAAGTTGAGGCTAGAAAAGACTGAGTCCAGGAACTCAACAATTGGGACCCTAGACAAAAGGACCCACACATGGACCTGCAGGCTGATTTGGAGGAGGATAAAGGAATACCCGTTGGCCAGACTCGGCCTGTGGACCTCTCATGAAAGCTCAAGTCCTGGCCAGGTGGGGCCCTGAGGCAAAGCCTGCTGGGTAAATCTGTTTCTCCCTTTCTGAGTGAAGAAACTAAGGCCCAGGGAAAGGCTACTTGTTCCCATAACAGCATCAGTATCAGTAACAGAGAAAGTCCCAGCTAAGTTTTCTGAGACTGAACAGCACCCACCCTCCAGAGAGTCTGCTGCCTCCCACCAACAGCCAACAGGGCCCTGGCAGCAGAAGGTGGGTCAGCTTCCTTC